CCGTCTCGAAGCTTTCGCTCCCGCTTCTCGACGCGCGTAATCCCGGCGCTCTGATTGGTCCGTGTTTTTCGTTAATAACTCAAAAACGACGCTTTAAACCCGATTTTTGCAAAGGGAAATCTTGCTTAGAATCACGTCAGCTACCCCCCATTTCAGGGACCTACACGAGTTGTGTGACACCCTGTATGGGATACCTGACTCGGTCCCCATATTTTTATAGAGGCACTTATAGACCCTTAAATTCTTTTTTAAAATGAATTAGAATAAAAAATATAATATAATACAATTGCCAGAAAACTATGTATAGAAGTTAGTCGTGAACCGAACGGAAGGTATAAAATGTACGTATAACAGAATAGTATGTATAGAAGTCAGTCGTGAACCAAACGGAAGGTATAAAATGTACGTACAACTTCAAGGACAGTAATATTTTTTCCGCAAGCAAAATTAAAAATTCCAATTTATTCGTATTTTTTCTTTGGACACATAGTTTATGTATGTGAAATTTGATCAAAATGGTACAACGTTTTATTAAAAAAATTTGCAAAATAATGTTAATTTTTAACATATTTTTTAAATAAATATATTTGTCAAAACTCCACTTACGCCATATTATTGGCCTTCTAAAACAGAAAAATTTGCATTTTGAATTTGTTGTCTAGGCCTAATAATTCCCGAGATATTTGCGAAAATAGTTTTTTCAACCCCAACTTTAAGGGTTATTTTCACCACTTCAGAGTAGATGTTTGCCAAAAAAAAAAATACGTGTCAAATATTTTCTCGAGTTCTATAACATATAAAAATTTCATCAAAATCGACGTGTATCAGTTGGGTGATGTCCCTTGTAAGATTGAAAGTATAACAAAATGTGACACTGTGTCGGATACGTAATGTTTCGCGTACTGTTAATTTTAGAATGTTTTCTTAGGAGAGTTGTATGTAGAATGACTTTTCTTGTATTTTTTCATTGAAGGAAAACTTAAACCCCATCTGTTTCCCTGATTGGTGGAAATGTTTGCACCAGTCATTAGTTTTATGCACTGACCCCTCTCTACTTTTTGCGTCCGAAACGGGACTTTTTCCAAAGTAGGAGGTGTCAGTGGAAGCGGGAGTAAGAAGGGATAATTTTAACGGTGTGACGGAATTTCTGCCAGACGTGGGTCGCGATACCTGACATGGTCAACGGTCTTTGGACCCGTTTTCAAGACCCTTTGGAAATTCACGTTTATGACATATGCAATTAGCCGTTGAGAACAGGACTTAGAAAACGAAAGATATATGATACAGAATTAAGAAATAAACTAACTCTCAAAAACTTGCATGTAATAAACGTGCTAGCCATTTGCACACCAGGCGTTGTCCCCCGTACAAATTGCTAGCCATCTGTAGAAAGTGAATATCTGTTTTTTCGTATAATGGAATAATGAAATATTTATGTAAAACTATGTTACGCAGATATGCCACGGAACATAGATTACGATAGAAAGTATTGTTAGCGGATGTCGCTCCCTATCAGCGAATACCGATATCGTTCGCGCCGAAATATAATAAAAGGACAGTGCGAAATTAGAGGGCGGAGCATTTTGACGAAGGACTGTCAGGAAGCGAGTTATGTATACATATAATTAGCGAGCCGAAAAGGACGGTGTGCTTTAACAGAGCATTGATTTAATATTTTGCGTATCTATATACTATAGTTATTCTAATCGCATACTCAACTGTTTAACTTCTTTTTATAAATCCAAGTGTTTGTACAATCAATTCAAATATAAGTTAATTTCATTTATTAGCGCCTACACTACTGATAGTAAAAAAATTCGCATTTTGACTACTTTGCCTAAATCCTGGAGTATACGTAGAATTTCTTTTGAACTTAAAACCTCTTATCACATGGCAAGACAAGCAAAGCAATTGCAAGTCGGTCACGGAATAATGGTCACTCTAAATCCAAAGCATGGTCGTGCATTATCAGAAAGTGTGAAGTTATTAGTAGAAAGTTTCTATCGTAGAGTCATGCCGGAGAGAAAAATTTTATTTTAGTAAAACAAAACGAACATAGAGAACATTTGTAGAAAAGATTAATATTAGGTAATCTCAAAGAAATTTATGCATTTTTTAAAAGAAAAATATTTGACATATAAAGTAAGATTTAGTTCGTTTGCAAATTTGCTACCAAAGGAATGTGTTTTACCTGGTGCCAGCGGAACACATTTTGTTTGTGTTTGCGTAATACATCAAAATGTCAAATTAATATTAATTGCTATTATAACGGCAGTAGCTGCACGGTCCATAAATTCGAACGTCGTTATGACCGATTATAAGTTGATTTTAAAATTTGTAATGTGTGAGTTACAGACTCCATCGTGCATTGAATATATTTGTAATATTTGAAATAAATTGAAAATATTTTTATGACAATTATATTAATGAAATAACTTTTAAAAGTTGGACCAACACCGACAGGTCTTCCTTGGACACTCTTACATGTTCTGCTTCATATTAGGTCGAGTCATAAGTAACTTCCGTTTTTTTATCAGACATTTATTTCGTTCTCATTAAACAACAAAATTATATTATTTTATTATATATTCACCACTATTTTCTATAACCTTCTCCCATTTTCCTGGTAGTTTATCAATTCCTTCCTTGTAAAATGTGGTTGGTTTGGACTGGAAGAAGCTTTCAACAGCCTGCCTGACTTGCTCTTCAGAATTGAAGGTTTTTCCATTTAAAAAGTTTTGTAAGGAACAGAAAAGGTGGTAGTCTGTCGGGGCAAGATCTGAGAAGTAAGGTGGATATGGTAAAACAGACCATCCAAGCTCAAGAATTTTTTCTTGAGTTACCCTTGCTGTATGCGGTCGCGCGTTGTCGTGTAAAAGAATGACATTTCTGCGATTGACGAGTGCAGGGCGCTTTTTTAGGAGTTTCTCTTGCACTCTTTGCAATTGCTGAATGTATTTATCCGCAGTAATCGTTAAATTTGACTTTAACAACTCGTGGTGACTTATACCTTCATAATCTCACCATACACACAATAAAATCTATTTAGCTGCATCGGAAGTTACTTATGACTCGACCTAATATATAACTTAATGACCCTGTTCATACCCAGCAAAGTATATTAGTACTTACTTTTGACGAATCACACATTTTTTAATCATAACTTCATTCATAGATATTAGTTCCTATATTTATTGTTTATATTTTGAAAAAGGCGTCATTACTTGATAGAATCCGCGAAAAAGTAGGTTGTGATCAATAGTATGGAAAGCATTGTGTGTGGTTGGAAAAAT